GGAGTTGTATTTCCCAATTTCCACTACAGGGAAATGATGTCACCATATTATACCACAGAAGCCGCACATACATATTTGCTAACTAAAACACATTGAGATGAATATTAAAAGCAGTCTAGGTAAACATCGCATTTCAGGGACTAGCCAGCTTACAAAAGAAGCAATGTAATGCTTTTAGAATGTAATTCACATCAGTTATGACTTCTCTGTTCAAAATCCCCGAACAGCTGCTAAGCACACTTAGAAATAAAATCCCAACTCCTTATCGTGGTTCACAGGGCCCTCCATGAACAGGTTTCTGGATGTTTCGCCCTTCTTAGGTTGCCCCCCCCCCTTTGCTGTCTTGTATTGCAGCCTCAACATCTTCTGCTTGCTGTTCCTCTTGTGCATCAAAGGGCACCTGTGGCAGGAGGTTCCTGCCCCAGCCCGCCCTAAGCTTGCTTCCCTTACTTTACTCAGATCTGTGTGCAAATGTCAACTCTGCAGAGAGGCCTTCCTCCCCAAACAGATCGAAAATAGCAGCCCACTTCCCTCTTTCTTATTTTCCTGCTTTATTGTATTCTTTATGTGTCTTAGCAAGGCCTGGCAGTATATTCTGTGAAGGTAGTACTGGTGTCTTTTTGGTTACTAATCACTTCATTGTTGTTAGGTGCTTTCGAGTTGGTTCTGACTCATAGTGACCCTATGCACAATAAAATGAAACACTGCCCTGTCCTGCACCATCCTCATTATTGTTGTGACACTTGAGCCCATTGTCACTGTGCCAATCCATCTTGTTGGGGCCTTCCTCTTTTTTTCTGACTCTCTACTTTATCAAGCATGATGCTCTTCACCAGGGACTTGCCCTCCTGATAACATGTCCGAAATCTGGACGATCAAGTCTCACTATCCTGGCTTCTAAAGAGCACTCTGGCTATACTTCTTATAACATACTTTAGAAACATTGAAGTATTTATGGAATGAATAAATTTGATGAGTCTTAAACATGATACTTAGCTCCGTATTCCAATCATATCCTGGCAGGATCAGTCATGATTTGATTAGAAATCAGAATATAGAAACTTAAGGGGATATGTGTTTTTGTTGTTGTTGTTTTGACTTACTTAGTAACTGTAGGGAGTCATGGTGTGGTGCTGTGTGATAATGTACTGAACTGCAAAGCAAGGTCGCTGGTTCAAATCACCAGCCACTCCTTGGAAACCCTATACAGATTTGATGGCACTTAACAACAAACAATAACAAGTAATTGTAGAGATTCTGGTGACACCGTGGTTAAAACACCAAATGCTAATCAAAAGGTTGGTGGTTTGAGCCCACCAGCCTCTCCAAGGAAGAAAGATCCGGCAATCTGCTTTTGTAAAGATTGACAGCTTTGGAAACCCTAGTGGGTAGTTGTGCTCTGTCCTCTAGGGTCACGGTGAGTCAGAGTTAACTCAGTGGGAATGTGGGTTTTCAGGGGTTAGTCACTGTGGAATGATCCTCCCCCCCTTTATATAGTTCGTGGTTGCTAGTAATTGACTTCTTGTTAGGTTATAGACTTTTAAAATGTGAAGGGACCATTTCTCTCACGAAGACACAGAGGCAGTTGACTTTTTTTTTTTTTTAATCAGTAGACATTTTAGCACTTGCTGGCTGGAAATAGATCAAGTGTGGGTTTTATAATATGTCATCAGCTGAGTCCTAACAATGACTTAAATGTTTTCCCGAGACATTTATAGCTACAAACAAGGCATGATTGATGTTATGGATGTAGAGAGATTTCTTCTTTTATATGAACCTATTCATCTCATGATCAGTGGCGACAGGGCAGTATGGGAGGTCAGTGCTGGCCTGGAGCATGTTGAACTACATGGCAAAGATGTTTAGCATTCTTATATCTGGTTCCAGATAGACCATTTGACCCCTAGTCACAGCCTTAGAGACAGTAATGACTTTGATCCATCATGTCCCCATGAATTTGCTGTAGTTTTTCACCTGCATGTATTCTACAGATTGAGGACTGTTGTATAGACTTGCTAGAAACATTAGTTGTACTGGAAATAATAATCATGGACAACATTTCAGTTTAATTATCTACACTAGCCATCCTGTTATTCCTTTTGCAAAACAGCATAAACTGTCATTATACTATATCAAAGTTGGTTTTTAACTTATACTCTTTATGGTTGGTCTTGTACTTCCAGAACTTTAGTCTTTAAAAGGTGATTTAAGGTCATTTCAACCATAGACAAGGATACTCCAAAAAGTTCATAGGAAAAAAAAAAGAAAAAAAGGAATGAAAAGATCATATGCCTTCTCCACAAGCATTTTGAAGCCCCCTCTAATTTCCTTTATATGTTGAAGGTTGGTAAGCTTTTATTGTAAAGGACAGATAGTAAATATCTTTGGCTTTGTGGGCCATATGGTTTCCATCACAACTGGTCAGCTCTGCCTTTGTAGCGCAGGCAAGACCTCAATGAATGAACAGGGCAGTGTTCCAATACGGCATTTTTTTCTCCCTCTGAAAGCAAACAGCAGACCCCATTTGGGAGTTTACCAACCCCTGTTATATATAACTGTACCTCAGTTTTTCAAGGAGAATAGTGTATATTTTTCAAGGGTGAAAGGTTATCATATAGTAGAGAATGAAGCAGATGTGTCTCCTAAACTCTAGTTAAATGGAAATAAATAAAATATAAGGCATGTAATTGTTGATCCAATAGGAAGTTAGTAATTTTAAATGGAAGATACCTGTTGTATAGTACAGTGTCTCCCATATAAAAATACCCACAGGACAAACACCACTTTAATTTTAGTTCTGTATAAAAACATCTTGCCCTTCCTGCTAAATTGGTTTGTTTTTATTAGCTATGACTCATCATATTTCCCCTTTAGTCTTGATGCTGAGAACTAAGAGCTAACTAAGAACTCAGAACTAAGTTTGGTGCTCTTTTAAGGAGTCTCTGGGTGGCACAAAGAGTTGAACACTTGACTACTAACTGAAAGGTTGGCGGTTTGAACCCACTCAGAGGTAGCTTGGAAGATAAGACTGGCCATCTGCTTTTGAAGTCACAGTCTTGAAAACCCTACGGAGCAATTCTGCTCTGACACCTGGGGTGACCCTGAGTCAGAGTCCACTTGACAGCAACTAACAAGTTAGTTCATATCAGACTCATCACAACACTAGCTGGCAGACTGCAAGTGTCCTGTAGTTTCCTAGGCTTTAATTTTGACAGGAGCAGATCTCTAGATTACTTTTTCTCCGGTGGATTCAAACCTTGCAGTTAGCAGCTGAACCCTTAACCATTGTGCCGCCAGGGCTCCTTAAGAACAATATTGTTGTTGTTGTTATTGTTAGGTACCATGGAATGGGTTCTGACTCATAGCAACCCTGTTTCTGAGGAGCAACTGGTGGGTTTTAACTGCCGACCTTGTGGTTAACAGTCCAGTGCTTATCCTGCAGCATCACACCAGGACTCCAGTAACAACATAATAGCCATTATTAGCCTAGATGTTCCAGTGCCATGCCTTCATTGACTTAATTCTCTTTTGAAATGTTATATAAATACAGTGTATAAATGTGAGTTATATGTAATCTAACCCACTACCATTGAGTCGATTCTGACTCATACTAACCCAATAGGACAAAGTTGAATGTCTTAGGGTTTCTGAGACTGCAAGTCTTTATGGGAGCAGACAGCCTCATCGTTCTTTCTCCCTAGGAGCCACTGGTCAATTTGAATGACTGGTTAGCACCAGTTGGTAGTTAGAAGCCCAATGCTTAATCCATTAAAGAAGAGAAAAGTGAAAACTGAGTGTAGTTTCCTGATAAAAGAGTCTTTTGAGCCTCTTTTTTAGTATGAGAGATGTGATCTGTATGAAAGGAAAACAGTGAACATAATTCGGGATCAGCGTGGTATAAGCAAATGGTAAGACTTGCTGGAATATTGGGCAAAGTTAGGTGATACGGGAAGCAGCCACAACACATGTCTTGAATTAACAGGTTGACCAGTTTCATCAATAGAAATGAATTTGAATCACCCCGCTCCTCAAAAGCAAAAATAAACAAAGATTTCTGTTAATATTGAGGTCAGTAGTCTTGGAGGTGGGAGCTATTTAAAGGTTTTGTGTATTTGAGCAATCTAAACTTAATCTCGTACTATTTGCCAAAATAATGATGATTATATATTTTTTTAGATCAAATAGAAATAAATTAAATGCCTTGTATCATTTCATGCTATACCTTGAGATAAGTATGTCTTTAGAGTATAAGCAGCAATGTAAAATCCGAGGGTGAGAATCACTACTTTATATAGTCATATAAATTATTAAATTGCACTAATGATTTCACCTAACATTAATACAGTAATTCACCATTTATTAATATGGTAATTATTACTATATTTGAAATAGTGTTTATACAAAGAAATATATTAATATTTTCAAGCTTAATATTTAAAGTTAAAAGTTTAATATTTTAAAGGCAGTTCCTAAGTATGTCTTTAATTCAAAAGGGTATACATAAGTTGGAACAGTTAGATATGGTAGGAACAGTTAGGTAAGTTTCGTAAGTAGTAACAGTTAGGTATGGTTCATATCTAACATCAAATATTTGTCTTAGTATATGAACATAGTATAAAATATACCTTTTGATGCATAAATGCCATTAAATACTTCCAGATACTAGAAAACACCTTTAACATAATAATAGTCATGTTTTGATGTGGTTACAAAGTAGTGCCTGCTTGTCACTATGAACCATTGTATGTTCTTTGAAATTTTAATATAATAGACTTTATGGGGTTAATTTGTAACTATGGGTTGTATATTAATCTGATGTTTATAACCTGGAGACATCCTATGTACCTTCTACAATAAGCAGGGCTTCTAAATTATTTATTTTTATATGTATTTAATTGAAAAGTAATTTTTGTAAATATGTATATTTTTATGTTTGTATGATTTAGTTTTCTAGAAATAACATTATTCTAATTTTGCTTTTTTTCCCCCCTTCCCCCCAGTTGTTTTACAGGTTTGCAGCCTGGTCCTTTATCCCATCAAGTTCATTGAAACTGTGAGCTTGAAAATTTACCATGAGTTCAATTGGGGTTATGGCCTGGCCTGGGGTTCAACTATATTTTCGTTTGGGGGTGCCATACTCTATTGCCTCAACCCTAAGAACTACGAAGACTACTACTAGACCCAGTAGTCTCAAATGGAAACAACAGCCGCCATCCATCCACCGAAAGGATTACATCTGCATCTTTTCTAACTCAGTATTTTCTAAAACACTTGTGGAGCATCAAGCAGTTTGCTCAGTTGATTTACTATATTTTGCCTTTTGGCTGTCAATATCATAAGCAGCTTTTACATCCATTTTAGGGACCTGCACAAATTAAGAGAGCTGATTAGACATAGGCAAATGCTGCAAATTCCCAGTATGTTCATGTCATTGTTCTTGACAAGTAAAGGGTCTAAATAACAGCAACCATTGTGTGAAACTAGTTGGAATGAGAAATGCCTGAATCTCCTATTGCCTGCAGGGGAGCAGCTGGCATAAACAACATTTAGAAGTTCCTTTGTTCTGACAAGGATTCCACTATTTAGAGTCCTCATCTGCCTGCTTATTCTACCCAGTGACTGCTTTGGTCATTGGTTATTTGCTTGAATGAGCTCCAGAAAAGTCTGCTGCCCTTCAAGCACCTAATGGGAGTTGTGAACGTAACTGGTTAATGGTACACATTCCGTTTTCAAGAGAATATCTGTTTTAATGGGAGTTTATGCTTTGGCAGTCAGCATCTCCCTGGGAAGGGAATCAAGACTTGGAGCCATGTGCTTTTCATTATGTGATTTGAAATTGTGCCTCAGCCATATCTAGAATGGGGGAGAATTGAGGGTCTCTGCTTTCCCTGGGGCAACTAGAAAGACACGTGCATGAGTTGCTTCTGTCCGAAGTACCCTTTCAGCCATTTATCAAACACTGCAGCAAACAATTGTGAATATGTAATGAGCTTAACTATTTTTCTAGAAGGTGAATGATTAGCATAAATGGTGATGAGTTGTTCCCTAGCCCTACTCATACTTCTGTCTTACACATACAACTGATATTTGCTCTAGTGAAGTTGCTTGGATACTAACCTTGTATACGTTGTTAAGGCGCTTAGATTGGTATTCACACTTATTTGCCATACAAAGTTACATATACCGTACAGCTTTTGATCTGTGTTCTCTACTATTTCACTGGAAAATTTGACTAGAATTTCATAAAACGAAAAGTTGACATAGTGTCAATCTGAAAATCAATAATCCTTCTGTAAGCACTGTAGTTCAAAGGAGAGTAGCAGTTAGCATGATCATTTTGTTTAAAATGAAAAATAGAAACAATAGAAAGCTATTTTTTTCAAGTATTTTAAATGTCACTATAAGAGAGAGAATAGTGATAGATTTGTATAAATGTCTCAGTAGAGGAGTAGAATTTGTCTGATTATCACCTGGTCCTCTGAAGTTTACTGATGGGCTGACTGATCTATGCGCACAATTATGACGCATTTATGTTAAGGGAATCTTTTGTTGACTATTCAAATGGAAGGAATTGTCAAAATAATAGCGGATGAGTTTGCACCTAATCTCACACTGCAAACTTGTGTTAATTCTGTTTCATATACAAATTTGGATAGTCTGATTATAAACATATTTTTATATCTAATATACAGTTCTAATATAAAAGTTATAGATAGTTATTTTTGTTAACAGAGACACTAGAACACGATGTCCTGGTTTTGGTCCTCTAGCAGAAAGCAGCATTGGAGAAATCATCTAAAATGCATCTGTGTGCTATCGTGGGGTCCTGGTGTGCCATAGGATAAGCACTCCACCTCAAAGTCCGTTTGAACCACAAGGTCGGCGGTTCAAACTCACCAGCCACTCCTTGGAAACCCTATACAGGGTCACTATGAGTCAGAACCAACAGCACTTCACAACAACAACAACAACAAAATATGCTATTGTGTGGTCCTGGTGTGATATTGTAGGATAAGCACTGGACTTCTGACCACAAGGTTCTCGGAAACCCTATATTGGGTCTCTATGAAACAGACTGGATGACACTTAACAACAACAACATATGCTATTGTATTGCAAACTCCATTAAGAGCAGGACTACATCAACAGTATTAAATAATTTATTTTACCTCCCAAAGCAGAGTTCTGCTTTCAGCTTGTCTTAAGAACTGTTGCCAAAAACAACAGCAAAACAAAACATTTTTAAAACACTTTATTTTATTACTCAAATGTTAAAAAAAATAAAATGAGAATTTTCTATAGAATCACAAAGTAAATATGAAGTGTATCAAACTTCTTATTTTAGCAATGGTAAGCAAAAGTGATTAAATGCATCCTAGAGAGACATCTATATAGAAGTGTATGATTCTATAAAGAATCATAAGAAACTGAGTGGACATTTTCCAGAAAGGTATTAATATTGTAGAATCTTTTGAAGCAATTTCCTTGAGATATAGTAAAATCTGGGGCAAACTGTTTTGCAGTTCATTTCATATTGTCAAAGCAGCATGAGAAATACGATATTTCGGATAGGGATTTCGGCTACTAAACACCCTCTATTGTGAGAGGATCTCTTCATTTCTGAATGATGGAAGAATAGTACTTTGGTGCTGGCATCAACGAGGCACTTTTCTTAGTCCTAGGAGAGGATGCAATGTGCTGCTAGACCAATATCATATCTTGAGACTACCAAGTTTTTATTCTATCAATATAACAAACTGGGGAGTGACACAATATGGTATAGGTTAAGGCACATATACTGACAGTTCACTGAAAAGTAGATTTCTTATGACTTCTTTTCCCTTTCTATATTTCTATTTCCACCAGTATTTGAAAGTATTTCATTACAAGCAAGCTTAGGTCACCATGAAAATGTTTGCCTATCTAAAATACTGGTTTGTCTTATCAGAATAAACACAAGTGAAATTATTCGGCTACATTAATATTATGTCTTTGCAGCTTTAGATCGTCTGATTTTTTTTAGCAACAAACTTATTGGTTATCATATAGCTCTGTGTGTGTGTGTGTGTGTGTGTGTGT